TTTAATACTTAGGATTCCTATTTCTAATATTGCTTTTAACATTTACTTATACTACTTTTAATCAGTACTTGTGGTAAAAGTCTTAAAAGTAAAAAAGTAAATTCACTTTACTTCAGTTTGCTGCCAATCGACTGCTGCGCACTCCAGTCCAGTAGGTGGCGGTAATGCGCCTATAAGGTGGTCATACCGCTGAACACAAGGAGAAGACGTCACAGCTGGTCCGGAAGTTTTTCTTAGACCTGTGATCGAAACATTTAGCGGACACGTTCAAACCTCTACGAAAACTTTTATTTCGTTTCCTCTTGAAAACGTGAAAGTTCAGTATTTTACTGGGGACCGTGAACGCAGCGCGGCCGCGGGGCTGCTGGTGAGTTCGGTGGTGTGGTGTGTTCACGTACAAACAGAAACTTGTACATTTGTAGATGAACTGACATAAACTCACCTTCACACGATGTTTCAGCTTCTGCTTCGTTTCCAAACAGCGAGAAGAACCGATGTGAAGCGTTTACACGAGTTTCCTGCAGAAATCAGATTTGGGGAAAAAAAAAAAACCTCATGACAAAACTACAGAAGGGGTTTTGCTGCCGTAAAGAACAAAGCAGCGTCGTAAACTGAGTTGTGTATGTTTCCTCCATGCTGCAAATTAATTCAATTATTTCATTAAATGAATTAATTGAATTAATTTGAAAAGTGTCTCTACACAGAACAAAACACAGAGTACACAACTATACAACTTAATACACACTGCAAGAATCTAAAATAAACTGAAAGTGTCTCTATGATTTTTATAAAGCTCAGTTAGGTTTTACTGTGTTTTACTTTATACGCACTTTACAATATTCCACCTACTCTTCTTCTTGTCATGTATGTGTGCCTTTGTGTTTCTCCACAGACGATTGTCCACCATGTCTCAGATTGTCCCCCCGATCCTCTCCGTCGCCCCCATTCGGGCTCTGGTAGATGAGACGTTCAAGGTGCTGGTGGACAATCTGTCCCCTGGTTCTCCGGTGACAGTCCACGCCCTGCACCACTCTGAGGACCAGGACTACTGGGAGGCGTATGGACACTACATCAGCGACCACAGGGGAAGGGTGTCTGGTGGGTTCTGGTCGTCCTGAAACTCGCCGCGTCAAACGGGTCAAATGTTAAAATAGCAGTCGCCTGTTTCCGTGTCGTTGACACTTTCTTGTTTCTGCAGTTTCAGACGACATGAGTTTCGGGGGCACGTACACAGGAAAAGAAGCCATGGGTTTGTTGTGGAGCATGCGTCCCGTCCACGGCAGCCGCACAGGCCTCAGGTAATAAAATCTGCAGCTTCACAAAATCTAAAAGAAGGAGATGAGTAGATTAGACTTTAATTCACCTGCATCAGCGCTCAGCCAGACGACTGTTAGTCATTTAAAGCAAGATCTAGTTATTCTAAATTAGTTTGAGGCTCCATGAAGCAGCAAACTGAACTTTTATAAATGTAAAGAAACAGCTGTAAGCATTAAACTTACAGGATTAAACCACAAAGGGAAGTGGAGACGAAGTCTTAAACATCTGGAAATGTATAAAAGACAAAAGGTTCAGCAAAGAGCGTTCTCTCTCTTCCTGTCATAACTCGGTCAAATCTGAAAATGTGAAACAGTCTCGTGTTCTTTTCTCGTCAGGCTGAGAAAGATGAACGTCTCCACCCCCATGCTGGTGCAAATCTCCGTCTACAGGGGACACGACTTCAGGGACCAGACTCCTCTGGCGTCGGTGCTCACAGAGAGGTGGTACATGGCTCCTGGCGTCCAGAGGATTGAAATCAATGAGGACGGCGTGCGGGGGACGCTGTTCATTCCTCCAGGTGAGACGCACCTTCAGCAGTACAGCTCGTCAAGTACCTGTGTGAGTGATTTATGTGTAAATGGTTGTTATAAGAAACATCTGAATCTCCTCCCCTCAGGTCCAGGACCCTTCCCCGGGCTGATGGACATGTGGGGGGGCGGCGGCGGGCTGCTGGAGTATCGCGCGGCCTTGTTAGCGTCCCGAGGTTTCGCTTGTCTGGCGCTGGAGTATTTCAAACCTGGCGAGCTGTCGTCAGTGGACCTGGAGTTCAAGTATTTTGAGGTTTGTGTTGTTTTATTTTTTCCGATGATATAAACGTGAGTTTTAAAGAACTTGGCTGAACTAAATTTCCATCCACCTCCGAACAGAAGGGGTTTAACATCGTCAAGGATCATCCGAAAGTGATGCCGGACAGAGTCGGGCTGTTCGGTCTTTCCCTCGGCTCCAGTGTGACCATGTATTTAGCAGCTGAGAGCAAAGTTGTCGAAGTAAGTATCAGACACAAATTAGCTCCAAGTAGTTTCTTCTTTAGAAACTCAGCATTTACTCTTACTCCACCGTTGGTGGAGACGTATTTTACTGTTTGTTTGAATTAGTTTGCTGCTCGAGGGGATGAATGCTTGTTTGGTCTGAAAGCAGCTCAGCGTAGAATAAGTGGCTGTGAATGACGTCGGGCTCAGAGTTGGAGGATTTGTTGTTTTTCATTTTAGTTTTTTTCATTTCTCTACGATGTGAACCTGAGGATCAGTAATCTGTCCGCACTCTGTTTCTTTGTGTTCCAGCCTCGTTGTTGTGTTTGTGTCAACGGCAACCACGGTTTTGGGATTTCCGTCAGGGAAGGTTATATCCAGATGGAAAAGTAGGTATCACTTTGTCAGGATCATGAACGGGCAACATGTTTATTTCCAGTTGGACTGACGCAGACGATCATGTGTTGACAGGACTTTACACAAGGCCCGTGTGGATGAGAACAACGCTTCGATATGGCGAGACGTTGTTCTCCAAATACTGAATGATTCCTCCTTAAAACTCGACGTAAGTAAAAGCTGCACAAACAACACAAAGATTAAAGTGAAACCGCCACCAGGGGGCGATCAAGATGATTTGGCTTCACTTCCTGGAGCAGTCATGTGGTCCGTCTTTATTTACTGTCTATGATGCAAACACACCAAAGAAGCTAATTCAGTCTGTTGACCTTGTGTGAGTCGACTGTAAATAAAGATGCACGACATGACAGCTCCCAAATGTAAGCTCATCGCCCCCTGGTGGCTGGCTGCAGTACATGAGCGCTTTGAAACCGTTCCGTTCTTTAACTATATATATTTTATTATATTTTCACATTTGTTCTCTTGAGCTAGATGGGTAAAGTAAAGTGTCCCTTGATGCTGGTCAGTGGAGTGGATGATCAGAACACTCCGGCGGTGGAGGTGGCTGAGGATGTGAGTATTAAAACGCCTCTTGTGTTCGCATGCGGACGTGAGTTCAGTCTGTGATCGGACGTTTTTCGTCCCTCAGATCTCTCAGATGATGCGTGCGGCCGGTAACGAGCACCTGCTGACCAGACTGGATTATCCGGACGCTGGTCATCTGATCGAGCCGCCGTTCTCCCCCCACTTCAGAGCCACCAACTTTATAGTCCACGGCAAAGGAGAAAAAAGTGAGTTCACAGACAGCATTATGTAAAGATGGAAATTAGTTGAACTTTGTTTTCCACCAAAAAACAAACAAACTAATTAGACCACTGACGTCTCAAGTGCAACTTTCGTGTCATCAACATTTTGGAGCTCTGGCAGAACAAATACAGTTTATACAGGAGCCTAAATACAATGTGTGTTTATTGTCCCATTAGTTTTTATCTCTTAAAACAGTATTTGTGTAAATCGTCACACATTCTTTTTTTAGTTCACATCTTGTGTACGAGACGACAATCGTTTAATTCTGACTGACAGTGTTTCAGGACTCAGGAGTTCGGTCTCGTCCAGCGACTTATTTCAGCTCCAAATGTCCGATGAGATCCTACAGATGTTATGATGTTCACAAGTTTAACAGCTGCTCAGTGTGGGAATCATTTTTCACGTGGTGCAATAATCTTCTGTGTTGCAGAGATCTTGTTGTGGGGGGGGCAAACCAAACCCCACTCTGACGCTCAGGAGGACTCCTGGAGGAAGATGTTGACTTTTCTGCGGCTGCATCTCTGCGGCGACGCAAGTCCCAAAGCCAAGCTGTGAGCAAAGACTGCTGGGAAAGACGGCTGTGTGACGAGGTTGTGATTGACCGCAGTGACGTGATCTTTTATATAATAAATAATAATATATAATTAAAGGCACAAACTGTACGTCCGCCTTCTCTGCATGAAAATCATCTGAGCAGCGTCAGCAGGAGCTCCACCTCTCGCACCGTCTGTCCACTGATTGGGTAACGAGGCGGCAGCTTCTCCGCAGCACACGACGTCTTCACCAAATACCTGCAGGGACGAAACAGTCACTGGACACTTGTCCATGGACACAAATATTCTAATATTAACCCGATGAAGACAATAATGTGAAAACGATGCTGACCTGTGAACAGCATTTTCTGATTAAGTGAACCTGGTGATTATAATCTGATTTTCTGTCACGGCCTTAATATTATGGTGATTGTTTAATATTTATCTTAATGACGGAGTAATTATTTATAATAAAGCTCCGACACAATAATCAATGCTGATTATTTTCAATCAACATGTTGCGTATTAAAATGTTACTGATTCCAATTTTACATAAAGATTTATAGGTTTTGAATGGACCATCTATGTGTTTTATTTATTTTCTGTTCAACGTCTTCATGTCTGTTTGGAAACTTAAATAAATACGTAATTAAAAAGAAGCATTGCAGAACCTTTATGTTATCGTCATTTTGACAGGATGGAGGGAGATGACGCTGCATTAGCTGTTAAATCTGCCTCACGTGGTAAAATGTATTTATGATGTCCTGGTGAAATTTATTTAAAGGTCCAGTGTGTAGGCTTTAGTGACATCTAGTGGTGAAGTGTCATGTTGCAGCTGAACACCCCTCACCCCCCCTCTCTCATTCCAAACATGAAGAAGAACCTGTGGCAGCCTTTAAAACATGGCGGCCTCCGTAGAGAGGACCCCCTCCATGTAAATATAAAGTATTTCAATATAAAGTATTTCAATATAAAGAGCCTTTTCTGGGGTAAGAAAACTATAATTCATATAATTTAGATGAAATGAACGAGTGAAAACATCATGAGGATTATTTCTGCCAATAGATCCTTTCACCTGAATCTTACAGACTGGACCTTTAAGTAAATGAAGAAAATGATGCATTAATACAGAGTTTCTGTTTAAGTCTCTGGATTTAAAAAGGCTTGAATATGTTAAACATGTTCACGTGGGTCTACTTCCATCAAGCCGTGAACCGGACTCGAACCTCGAGCAGCAGAACGAACCTGAACTCTTCCCTCATGTCGGAGCGGAGGTGCTGAGCCAGCAGGCTGCTGTGCTGCAGACAGGCCAGCAGGAGGCGACAGCGCTGGAACAACAGCACGGCCTGGACGGGACAGAGGACCGACTCCTGCAGGTCGGACAGAACCAGCACCACCTGCTGGGCCTGGTGGGTGATGAAGGAGAGCTGCAGACGGAGAACAGATGAAGGTCAGAGGGTCACGCGGAGATCTGAGGTCAGGAGCCGCGTCTCCGTCTTTACCAGGTGAGGATGAGGCTGCACGACTCGCAGGAGCCAATCGACAGAGAGGAGGTCGTCTGCAGAGAAACATCTGCTGCTCTGAAACACAAACACAAGGTTCAGTCACACGTCCTTCAGTGTTTCAACCATCTTGGAAGAGGTTTGATCCAGTGGCGTCTCACCCTGAGACACTCGGTGAAAACAGGACCTGAAGTCGCCTCGTGGCCGAGGAGCAGCAGCTCGAAGAGCAGCGAGCAGGCGGCGTCCAGGTACTCCGACAGCAAGACCTGAGTCTGACCGAGACAGAGACGACCACGGTAAGTGAATCCATCATTTGAAATAAGAGTTCAAAGAATCCGGTGGACTTCAGCTGAGAGCCGCTCACCTCAGAGTCCATCAGAAAGTCTCTGCTCTGCGTCAGCGGATCACAGATCAGGGCGAGCAGGATCCTGGAGGTCAGGGCGCCTCTGCAGCGAGAAGACATTTGATTTGATCAAATCACTGAGCTCACGTCACTTTGTTTGAGTTGTTTCACTCACTGACAGACGAGGACTTTACTTTCTGGCAGAGAGCAGGTTTAGTCTGGAAGCTTCGGCCTGCGTCTCCCTGAACATGACGGCGAGCGTCTCCACGACCACGATGCTCAGACTGAGGAGAGACACACACAGCGTCAGGGGCTCTGATCACAGAACCACGGCAGCTCGTTAACGGAACAGTGAAGCTTACAGGAGCTGATCTGCTGAGTAGACGCCACTGAGGCTCTGACGGCCGTGAAGACACTCCTCCAGAGTCTGAACCAGGAAAACACACAACTCACCGGACTGAAACACACAAACACACACACACAAACACGAGAACATTGAGACCTGAGTAAAAACAATTCTTCTGTTTACAAGATTTCATTTTATTCACAGAACGGCGACACGTATTTAATCCCTGAGTGGGTGTGACGATGAGGTTTCTAACACGTGACGGACGCGACACTTGAAGAACATCTGACCGGGGCAGTCTCCTGCGACCACGCTCTCACGAAACAATAACACAATAAACCTCTCACCCTCCAGAAGAGTCGGCGTAGAGCGACGTTGCGGTGGGCGGCGACGTTCAGCTCCTGCAGCAGCAGATACAAACTCTCCTCGTTGATCCCGTCCTGCAGCAGCTCAGACGTCAGCTGAGCGAACAGGTGAGCCGTCCGCTCCCAGCTGCAACACACACACACACACACACACACACACACTCTAATCAGTTCATCCTAATGTTTGGACCAAATCACCACATGGTCATGAGTCTCTTCAGCGTCACAGTTTGTCACCTGATGACAGGACGTTGTGAGTCAGATGACGAGCTGCACTTTCTTCTGTAGAGCGGATCCAACAACAGAGTCGACCTCTGAACACACACACACACACACACATTTTGAAAAGGACACAAACTAAAACACCAAATCAGGATTATTCCGCTTCTGAAAATCGTCCCCAGGAAGTTCCCTTTCAAAAGAAACCACGTCTGCAGACCTTCAGTCATCATCCTCTCTGATATTCCATTAGAGTGAAAGTTTGACTCACGATGATGAAACCGCTCCACGCGCTCTGGAGGTGCAGGTAAAGTCTGGACGTCTGAGAGACGGCGTAAAGGTGCAGCTCCGCCTCCCTCCGCTCTCCGCCCTCCACCAAGTCTCTTCTCAGCAGACGAGACAGAACCGAGCCGATCCTCCTCGGAACCTGAGTCACCACGGCAACACGGTCAGAAGCTGCATATCTGAATTAAACTCGTAATTATTATTTGTACATTGTTCTGTTGATAAACACTTTATATAAAGATGGACAGAACGAATTAAACCAATACTTGTTTATGAGCTATACTGCAGCCAGCCACCAGGGGGCTGTACATTTTTCTATCAATCAACTAATTGATTTACAAACTCATCGCTGGTCAAAAGCCGATGATGTTCGTGTCTTCAGTTCTATGAGCCTCCAGCAGTTTGTAAGTACCTGACCGCTCTGGAGGGACTTCTGGCTTCGCTCTGAGGGAGACGAGGAGCTGGTGGGGGGGTACAGAGGGGGCTGGGTGGGGGGATGCGGGACCCTGAGGAGCCCCAGAGTCTCGGGGTTCGGACAGGAAGCAGAGCGGCCGGGCTTCAACACCCGGACCTCCTCTGTCCTCCAGTGGTTCCTGACAGACACAAACGGAAGTAGAATATATGTGTGTGTGATTATATCGACTGAACGACAAACATCGATCATGTCAGATATTTTCTGTCTGTGGAGACCAGAAGCACGACGCTGACATATTATCACTTTCTGTTGTGGACGTGTGAATAATGATGAAGCGTCGCAGCTGGAGACTTGAACTGTTACTGAGAGTGAAGCTGCAAAACTGCAAAACAGATCTGTCCCTCAGGATCAGTCATTACTTCTCTGTGTGTGTGTGTGTGTGTGTGTGTGTGTGTGNTTACTTCTCTGTGTGTGTGTGTGTGTGTGTGTGTGTGTGTGTGTGTGTGTGTGTGTGTGTGTGTGTGTGTGTGTGTGTGTGTAATGACCTCCCAGGGTGAACTACACTCGAGGCAGCGCCACATCTGCAGGAGGCGTCGTTTACATCAGTTTTACAGCACTTTGTCGCTGAGGTGTGAACGGAACCCGTTGCCTGGCAACAGCAGTCTCCTCACACCGATGCACACGGGACGTTTTCAAACACGCGACTCGGATGAACAGGACTTGACTGTGACTCCGTTCGACCTGAGAGAAGTCGTCAACTCTACAGTTAGTTTGACGTTCACATGTAGTTAGTTCCCGTCGACACTTGAATAAATAAATAGAAGAAGCTGCAGAGACTCAAACGTTTCTGTTCGGACGTTAAGAGAAATCTCATCTGTCTTGTGTTGCGCGGCTCAGCGATGGACGTTAACGAGCCGCCGGTGAACTGAGGTGAACCTCGTCTCTCTGGAGTGAATAAGTCATGAGCTACCTGACACACTGAAGAGGCTCACGACACAGTGATTGGACACAGACAGATCGGACGTCCTCTCGTCGGCGCTGAGGTGAACTGAACCGCAGTTTGACGTGTACGTGAACAATGAACGTCAAGTGTCTCTGAAGTGTTTCCAGGAGACAAGAGGCCTCTCTAATGTCACCGGTATGTTCACTTGTAAACGTCCTTCTGTCTGAGTGTCCACGTCCCGCAGCCGTAAAGTTTTTACTGCTCACACAGTTTGTCTGACTCCCACCGGGAAGAGTGTGGACGCAGAGTTACACAACAAAGTCTCACTGTGAAGAGCAGCTGGAGGTGAGGAGGACGAGTGTCTCCAAAGACAAACTGTGACGCTCCAGAGGTGAAAACTTCAGACGATCAAACGAAACCTGCAGATGTTGAGAGATCGGTGATAAAAGAGCTTAAGTGGAATGTTCCTGTAAAAAGTGAGAGCGACCACAGACGCCTCAAGTTCCATCCCAGGATCATGTGACAAACCAGAGTGTGTGTGTGTGTGTGTGTGTGTGTGTGTGTGTGTGTGTGTGTGTGCGTGCGTGCGTGCGTGCGTGTGTGTAACGCTCACCTCTCCGCAGGATGTCCTCCTGTGAGAAGACACAAGACACCGGATGGTTAAAGTTACAAAAATAAAGCGACACGTGAGCTTCACTTGTTTCATCGTTCGACTGAAACTTGAGGATTTAGTCGACTTTTCTAAAAGTGTCTCTGTGTCTGTCCACCGATGAGCAGATCAGTCATTCATAAAAAATAAATAAAAACATTTTTATCAGGACACTAATCCACCGTTTAAAAACACGTCGTACCTTCTGAGGTGCGTGTTATCGACGGGCAGTGACTGGATCTGCGAGACGGCGAGGCTGCGAGAGGAAGTCCCACCCCCTTGTCTCTCCTCAACCAATCAAATGCCCTGGTGGCCGGCTGGTCGCTGACGTAGAGGATTCGAATGTGCTGGCAGTGTTCCCGGTCCCTCCCACTGAGGAACTCTGGGAGGTCATTGACCTGTGGGGGAGGAAAAGGAGAGAGACAACATATTATAAACTGATCTGGAGACAGCATCCGAACGGAAACCAACATCATCATTGGTTGTAGCCACAGACTGTGAACAAAGATGGACGACAGGACACAAAGGTGAAGCCAAAGTGTCTCAATCGCCCCCTGGTGGTTGGCTGCAGTATACCTCATAAACCCGCCTTATTCTTCTGATTAGTTTGGTTTTCATTTGTTAGATCAGCGACATCTTCTATCGACAGTCTATACTTGCAGCTCTAAATAAAAAAACATATCACAAAGAATTCTCTCGTCTGCTCAGCTTCGGAGTTTGAGAATATTCAGTCCTATAAAAAAACAACGACAGTGAGGTCATCACAGTTCAACTCTGTAATCTGACGAGTGGCCGGAGACAAGATTGACTCTGAGGATGACGTTAAACCTCCGACCTCTGACATAACAAGATGAGGAGTGGGAATTAGAGGCTAATGCTCCCGAGCAGACGCTGGTTATGTAGCGTTATGTCAAAATGGCTCCAAAGCCTCTGACGTCTGTTTTCAGCCGGTGGATTCTGTCGTCCACAGATAAACTGTCACGTTCTCTGCAGCAGGTTCAGAGTCTTTTCTTTTTATTTAGTGAACCGAAGAGAAATGAACGCTTCATTGAGTCACGTCCTCGCAGATCCAGAGGAAAGTGAATGAAATGAGAGAAGAGTAAAAACTGTTTATTTGATGAATGATTAAGTCGAGCGTCTCTGTTTCTCTTTCTCTGTCAAACTGAAGTCAACCTAAAAATCCTGTGTCCTCCCATAGTCTCTCTCTCTCTCTCTCTCTCTCTCTCATTTCAGATGTCCCTCACCCCGGAAACCTCAGGACAACAACTTTCACCATGATCACTTTTATTAATTAAAGATCTCAGTAATTCATTAGGACATGAATTGTTCCTGTGATCAATAATAATTCAAAGTCTTTACACTGTTTACACATTAACCAGTCAGATCTGATGATGCTCAGGTGTCTCTGCCTCCCTCTCTCTCCTACATCCCCCCCCCCCACACACACACACACACACTATCCCTCTCTCTCCTCTCCTCCTCCCTTGTTCTCTGCTCCTGGTTTTAAGCTCTTCACCTCCTCAGTAAAGATCCTTCAGATCATGTATGTTTTGGAATCAGCAGCTGATTTAAAATCATTTCAGGTCAAACTCACCAGTTCGATGCCGAGCACGCGCCCGAAGCTGACGGCCACGGTGAGAGTGCGCGGCGCGTGCTCGGTGAGGTACACGCGCTCGTCGCTGAGCACCGCGTGCATGTACACCTTGTTGAAGGCGTCCGACACCACCACGCACGGTTCCGAGGCGCGCACCCGCTCGTGCACGGCGCGCCCCATGCTCCGCTTCAGGAACGAGTCCAGCTTGATGTTCCTGCGGGAGAGGAGGCTCCCGGAGCCGGACAGAGACATGACGAGGCCCCGGGGAGCCACCGAGGAACCGACACCGGCACGGACGGAGGTCAGGCTCCGCCGCTGTCCGCCTCCATCCGGTCAGTGACAGTTCATCAACAACCGGACATGACACCAGAAGTTCTCCTTGTTTTATAACTTGTGTAACTTCTCTCAATGACTAACTTCTTCTCCTCTCCTCCTCCTCTTCTTCTTCTTCTTCTTCTCCTCTTCCTCCTCTTCTTCTCTTCTCCTCTTCCTCCTCTCCTCCTCCTCTCCTCTCTGAGCAGGTGAGCAGCTGCTGTCCCACATATATAAACTCACGCTGCTCTCTGATTGGTTGATGAGGAGCAGGGACGCCTGTGATTGGCCAGAAGATCCAACCTCTCCACTGAGCAGGGCCGGGTCCAGGTGACAGGTGACCGGGGGGGGGGGGGCCCGGGACGTAGAAACGTCCTCTTCGTGTCCATGTCTCACAGATTCACTGAAGACACTTTCCAGAGACACTTCTTGAGGGAAAACTTCATCTTGTGTGTCCACGTGTGTTTGATTAGATTTTTTAAGGGTCATTTTGTGCGTTATTGTCGTATCTTTGTGTAGCACTGTGGTAGTTTTGAAATGTCAGCAGTCACCTCACCTCTCATCAATCAGACTGAATGACAGATAATTAGAAATGAACTGGTTCCAGTGTCACAGATTCATTATTTCCATTATTCACTTATCTCAGTAAAATAAATGATCTGTGAAAACACCACAGAGTAAAAAATACACTTCACTCAGGTCTGTTTACTGCAAATCTCACCTTTTTGGCAAAATGTGGTAAAAGTAAACGCACAGGAGTGTAAATACATTATTATGTTATATTTCATTCCGTCAGTTACACAACACATTAGTTGTTTTCTGAGAGATAAACTTCATTAACATGTGTGAACCCTTGTTTTTATTTTATCATAAAAATATATTCACGGTTGAATAACATTAAGATCAGTGTTGTTGCACGACCCACGTCTCACCACTAGAGAGCAGTATGAGTGTAAATGATCCCACGACCCCTTTTTAAAATGTAAAAGAAGATTTGAACGAACCTCGCGTCGCAATAACAAATACAATCTAAAATATTTACACACTTTTATTTGAATCTCTGCAGAATCAACAAATAAATGAATCACTGTTTGAATTAGTCGTGGTCGATGTAAACCTGGAAAAATGTTGAAAATTTGATGCTTCATCCTCCCCCCCACACACACAGACACAGACACACACAGACACACACACACACACAGATTTGAAGGGGAGCTTTGTAAAAGCGATGAAGGCCGTCTCACACAAACACAAACACAGTGTGATTTGTGTTGCTGACACACCAACGTCTCTAATGCAGCTCAGTCAAAACTCTGGACTCCAGATGTTCAGCTCTGTCGACTGTTGTGTGTATTTTATAACTTCACTCTCGGCTCCGACACAGAGTCACGATAACCGGATGGACTCATGATGAGAAAAGGCCCCTCGCACCTCCTACACAGGAACACGAGCCCACACTGACAGTTTGTGTGACTGAGACAGTTTGTGTAGCAGCTTCTGTCTCTGTGTCATCACTTTCTGTCTATTCCTGGTGCTCGTGCATCTTTGTGGTCATTGTGTGTCTGTTTGTAGCTGTTTTGTGTTGTCTCTATCGTCTCGCTGTGGTCACTGGGATATTTTACTTACGTGCACTGTGCTCCTTCATCATCATCATCATCATCATCACTGTGTGTGTTTTTGTGCAGCTGTGAGCAGCAGTTGTGGGTCGACTGACACTGACCGTCTTTGTTCTGCAGAAGAAACACACACACACACACACACACACACACACACACACACACACACACACACACACACACACACACACACACACATTATGTTAATGAGGTTCAAAGTTCAGACTCTAAAAAAAGAGACAATCAAACATTTTGAGTCGAAAACTTTCAACTGATCCAAAATTTAACCCAAACTGAAAATGTGTATTATTGGAAAATACTGAATTATTATTATTATTATTATTATCATTACTTCATCAGCTTGTTTTTACTGATGAGTCATTTTATATTCAGGAAAAATCAAAGTTTTTTACGTGTTAAGTTGATCTTAACACTTCTGACTCTGTGGTTGTAAAATGTAAAGAATTATCGGAGTCAGCAGAGACACACGTCTTATGTATTGTTTGACTTATATTCCCTCATCACTTTGTCTTTACATGCAAACAACTACTGCAGCTTAGCACTCGTGCCTCTCATTCACAGTTTGTCATCTCTTCTTATTCGTAGTTCTATTATATTTAGTACTTTACTTAATAATTCTAGTATTTTATCGTGAATCACTTACTTAGGGAGAATGTGGAGTTTTTTTTAGCTATTCTAATTCCTCATATTTGTTTTATTGCTTCTTCACTCTAATTGCACATAGAGTCTATCTCTTTCTCTATCTGTCTGTTCACTAGTGATACAAGTACAAATACTTCTAATAATAATAACAAGAAGAAGAAGAAGATTTTTTGTAAATCGTCCAAAGGTTAAAAAACAAAAGAAAAGAGAGAAAAGAGAGAAAAGAAGAGAAGAATGAGTTTCTCTTTTGTGTCTGTGGGTGTTCATCCTCATCATCATCCTCATCATCCTCATCATCATCAGTTTCCTCCCAGCAGCTGACTGTGAAGGAACCGACCGAGCAGAACAGACGGAGGCAGCGGCACCAGAGTGACTCCGGATCCGCTCGTTTCCATTTAAAGTGAATTCTTCAGAAAACAGTTTGTTAGTTGAAGAACAGACGCAGAGAAGAAGATGGCGGCTCTGACCAGCTGGGAAATGTGTGTTAAATACGCTCTGTTCATCTTTAACTTCGTCTTCTGGGTGAGTGACGACATTTAAAAAAAAACCTCTTTATATTGATTTACACTTTATTTACACGGCGGTTAGCTTAGCACGCTAACGGGACCAAATGAGCACGAACTTGAAGTTGACATTTCCATTAAATGAGTGTGATTTATTTAATATGGACATGTCTTCTCTGCCGAGTTACAGAACAGCTTGATTTTAGTGTCGTGAACACTTAAGATGTGTTTTTTGTTGAGAGTGTTTCGGGCTGTAACGAAACAAACGTTAAATCCAGAGATTTTTCAACGGAGTTTGGTAACGGAAGCTGTTTGAGTTTGAATTCTACTGATAAATGATGATAAAACTTTATTTTATTTTACTTTAAAAAAAAAGTTCCCAGAGCGCTTTGTGAAATACATAAGAATAAAACAACACGAAACCAAACTATAAAAATGAGACACAAATATGAAATACTTTTTAAAAACAGTTGAAATCAGATCTTATCTCTAATATGAAGCTGTGGAAGGGAACGTTAGAATATATTAATATAGTAATCATATTTAAATAACGTAGTAATATAAACCTCTCTGAGTTAAATATCTGATTCTGTACTTTGTTTAATTGAAGTTGAACTGAATCTGTCAGCAGAGGTTCAGAAAACTACCAGCAGGTGGCGTTATTCGGCTCAAGTGGTTCTATCTTCGTCCTGTTTCTCTCTTCTTTTTAAAAAAATAAAATAATTTTCTATCTTTTCCCTTAAGTATTCTCTTCAGTCTCCAGCTCCACTCATGTCCCGGGTTTTTAAATGATTTCTAAGAGTCTGGGTGTGGACTGGGATGGAGGGATGGGATGGAGAGAAGGACGAAGAGAGGGACGAAGAGAGAGGGATGGAGGAAGTGAAAGATGAGGCATCAGCAGCTCAGAGACAAACATGATGTGAATGAAGAACTGAAACAAACGATGCTGTGATTTCTCTTCTTTCCTTCGTTTGATATTTAAATATTAATAAACGTGTCAGTAGATCATTTCATCATCGGTCTGATTCATGATGAACAGTTTTACACTTTGATAAATAAACCGATCGACACGTTGATCAGTTGTGTTTAATCACATTCAGCTGCGTCTCATCACTCCTCACCTCCTCCTCCTCCCTCCAGCTGTTCTCTCCGCCCCTCCCCCCCCCTCACCTGCTCACATTGCCAGGTGAGGTGTGGCTCACACTCAAAAAGAGAAGAGAAGCTGCAGCTGGTTGTGTTGAGTGTTGTTCAGGAGTTCGTTTGTTTGAGTCCTGAGCTCAGAGTCATGGGGGGACTTCAGTGCATCAAATACCTGCTGTTTGTCTTCAACTTCCTCTTCTGGGTACGTACTCGCCTCACTGACGAGCTCTCGGTGATTTCACCACACAAGAGTCTGAAGTTTGACAAAAGAGTTTTTAATCTCTCACGTTGAGTCTGAACTTCTGTCGTGACTTTAATTAACTAATGAAAAAAGAAAAGCGTGTCCAGCTTGATGTTGCTGCGGGACAGAGTTCTCTGATACACTGAGAAGGATTCAAGTGAAATCACCTGTTGAGCTGCTGCGGTGTCTCATCAGGAAGTGACGTCAGATCCAAACTGGTGGAGCGACACATCAGGCTGGAGTCAAAAAAAACAACCTGCATGTTAAAGAATGTCCCTTCAAGAGACACTTGTTGGACACAGAATATTTAAGGATGTGAGTGATTCGTTGTCCTCGCTGCCTCCTTTGTTTACTGACGTCATCTGTTTACAGCTGCTTCTGCTCTAATGACTGTTTTCCTCCATGTGAGTCCGAGAGGCTCAGCTTCGTGTTTCAGAGTGAGAAGCTGCAGAACCTCAGATGATTGATGTTTGTGGTGGTCGAGCAGCTAATGGTTGTTTTTGAGTCTGAGGTTAATGAGAGCGAGCGACTCAGTGCTGCGTCTGCACAAACACTCGAGCCTGCAGAGAGCGATTCACTGCAGCAACACGTCACCGTCCACCACTCAGTCCTACTCTGTATTGTTTGTTGGACACCAGATGATGAAAAGACAATGTAGACATACTCAGGGTGCTGCAGCGCCCCCCATCAGCAAGTGGCTGTAACTACAAGGCCAGACGTCAACGGAACAAATCCATTAAATCATTTCATTTTCTAGAGCAGCAGTTTGATGGCAGCACCTGAAGTTATTTTAACAAGTGGCCGACAATAAAACCGTGTTACTGCATCTTTATGTGGCGTTACCGTGACGATGAGTCCTTCCCTGTCTTTGGCCGCATCCATCACCGTCCCAGTCGGAATCCGCAGCAGCAGTTCAACTGTGATGAGGACACAAGGGACAATACTTCAAATCCCGATACACACACAAAAACATTCACCTCTAAACTTTGAGTTTCCTTCTTCAGTGCAGATGAAAGTTTTTCCGCTGAGCTCGATATCTCAGGATCTGATCAGAGGTCAAAGGTCAAGGTTGCTGTGAACTTTGTTTATACGCCGATATGAAAAATTCAGATTCTGATTCAGAACGATATTAACAGCACGTGTCCTCCTGCGTCGGTGTTCTCCTGTAGTTGGCAGGTTCTGGAGTTCTGGCCGTGGGTCTCTGGCTGCGGTTCGACTCCAGGACGGCAGGACTGTTTGAAGGAGAGGACTCGCCCACCGTCTTCTTCACTGGTGAGTTCTGACGTTCAAACACAGAAGAGTCAACACGAGACAGCCCTCATGTTTAATATGTCAGAGATCAGGAAGTGTGTGGAGCAGCTTTTAAAAAGAACTTGATGGTTAAAGGCCGAGCAGTCGACAGGAAGTGCTGCTTCACTCTGACATCATTAAAGTTTCAGGCCTGTGCGAGCAGTGTGGCGTTAAGAGCCTGTCAGAGCATCAATGCTTCATGATGCTGTTACTGGTGTGAGGCGGAAACGTGTGGCTTCATTAGAGGAAGAACTCGGATACTGTGTACAAATACTCTTTGGGTTCCTGTGTTGAAGATAAAGCATTAAAGGATGTGGTTGTCACCTCATGTTGCGGGGCCGAGCTCCAGCAGCAACCTGCCTCCGACCGCAGGGTGGACAGAGGTCATCTGAGGCCACTGAGCTCGTACACACACACACACACACACACACACACAGACGTCTTTCTTCTCTGCAGGACAGGGACGTCTTTGTCTCAGCGCTGTCACAGAAAGACAGAGCGGCTCCCTCCTCTGTCTCTTTGTGCTGTTCTTCCATCAAACTGAGAAGTGAAGTGGGCAGCGAGGCGACAAAGGAGCGGTCTGAAATGACAAACATCTTAATAACAGCTCTGAGACCAGCGGAGGAGGATTTTCTTTGTTTAGTTTTTTTTCGGGCTGATTTCCTCGTGACTCCAGTGGTTGTTGTTCGTGTTTAGTTTATGATTCACGCTCACGAGGCCTCAATAAAAACTGACGACTTTAAATCTCTTCTCACCAGAAATCCACATCGAGTCTTTGTCTTCGTGTGTTCGCGTCCGAGTTTTGTCATATTTCAATTATTAGAATTTGAATGTTAGATTATTGTCGTTACTGATGAAAGTTTGTCGATGCCGCAGGTGTGTACATCCTGATCGCAGCCGGGGCTCTGATGATGGTCGTCGGCTTCCTCGGATGCTGCGGAGCCATCAAAGAGTCGCCGTGCATGCTGGGACTGGTGAGTCACGGTGTCTCTGCTGTAGAGGGAACTAGACAGGGGGGGGGGGACTCCTCGGGTCAGAAGAAATAAATGTTTTGGTTGAAAATGGAAACGGTTAAAGAAATAATCTGAACATGTTAGAATCTCTCGTTTTCTTCCTCAGTTCTTCCTCTTCCTGCTCGTCATCTTCGCCGTGGAGGTGGCTGCTGGGACCTGGGGCCTCTCCAACAAAGACAGGGTACACACACACACACACACACACTTCAGTGTTGGTGGTGAATGTGTTTGTATTCATGGTCGTCTCTGTTTTCAGGTGGTGGAGGACGTGACAGAGTTTTATAAACAGACGTATTCCAACTACAGACAAACCAAACAAGAAGCCCTGAAGGAGACGCTGCGTCTCATCCACTTCGGAGTGAGAACACGAACCTCAGCTCGTCTTATTGACCGGCTGAAGACTCAGTTGTGCTTCGTCCACACTGACATGTTGTTGTTTTAAAGCAAAAACCTCGAGTGTCTTTGCTCTGCATCAGAACTCTTCATGTTCACGTGTGTGTAACGAGATCTGAAGTATTTCTCCTCGTGTCCTCGTCACAGTTGAACTGCTGCGGTCCGACCGGGACGGTGATCGATGCGGCCAAAGACACCTGCCCTGACCGGGAAGGCCTCATCGTCACGGTAACGCCACATCAACACGGTTTATTGTTGGTCACAGAACCTTCAGATATTCAGAGAAACTTCGACTGTCGCTGAACTCACGTCTGTCGCTCCTCTGCTCTCCCGTCAGAGTTGCCCTACCGCCATCGACGAGATGTTCAACAACAAACTGCACATCATCGGTGGAGTGGGCATCGGCATCGGCGTCATCATGGTGAGTCTGTGGACGAGAACAAACAGCAGAAGTTAGAATCTGAGTTCCACTGAGAGACGTTCTACTTTCATTTATTTATTTATAACCTCAGAGTCACGAGTGAAGCATCAAACTCACCTGAACTCTCGTCTCCAGCTCTTTAAACATGTGATAATCTTCTTTTCATTTAAAATGTAGAAACTCTGTTCTTCTGTTTATCGTGTCAGTCGAACTAACCAGCTCGACGCTCCTCCGTCTGTCTGCAGATCTTCGGGATGATCTTCAGCATGATGCTCTGCTGCGCCATCAAGAGGTCCAGAGACTTTGTCTGAAAACCGAACCCTCCGTCTTTAACTCGCCCGCTGCTTCAGAGTTAATATCAGTTTGATGTAATAATCACATCTGTTAGTTTCCTGCCTGGATCCGTACAGGATGACCAGCTGTGACCGTGCGGAGCCTGAGACACCGATCTTTAATTTTACTTTATATTTGTATCCAAAGTAAAAACGTGTTTTTATTCTATTTGATAAATTTAACATCGACGAACTGACAGAGAAGACATCAGACTCTGCTGCCCCCTGGAGGACGCCGAGGATCACTCCTGTTGTTCTTTAATCACTTTGGTTTCGTCGGAGTTTGAAGTTTGTGAAGAGCTTTGATCGAAACCGACTTTGTCTGCAGCTAACGGAATTTTACTGTGACGTGTTTTATTTTGACACGTTTGAAGCTTTGATTTATTTTTTTAATAAAAGCCGAACTGAGGAGTTTTATAACCAAATGTTACTGAAAACACTTTAAATATATATAAGATGACAAATAAATGAATTAATGTGTTAAACTGAGTAAATGGTTTTTTGTTGTTGTGTGAAGTTCAGATGATTATTTGAGCCTGAACGTTTAAAAGGTCGTGACCTCAAGATAGAACTGACCGACACGACACCAGAATCCCAAAATAAGAGTTTAATGATTGAGGCTCATTTACAAAACATTTAAAAACCAGTTTCACCAGACTGAATTAAAACCAGACTCTAAAGTCGTAGAAAAGTTTACTGAGTTTAACGTTTATTGTTTATACTCCAGTGAATCCAGCGAGTTTCATAAACTCTGAAACTCTCCGGATTCACTTTTTGAATAAGACGTAAAAAAAATTCAGTTTGTGTTTATCGTAACTTTTCCATTTCATCTTCACGTCCATAAACAAAAGACTGAAAAAAAACTAATTCTTCGTTTTCTCGATTAAATCATTTGTTGCGTCTGAAAAAACTAATGTAAGAAACTTTGAACTGAGATTTACTCATAAAACTCAAAACTCCTCGTCCAGGAGGATTATTAAAAAATGAACCACTGGTTTGAAACAGAACAAAATTCAAAGACAGTGTTCGAAAAATAAGACGAGAAGTTCAAACAGACTTTCATGTGTGAATGGAGTTAGCCGCTCTTAGCTTAGCATCAAGACTTGAAACGGCTGAAACTCAATCTGACCAACGTCTCAGTGTCGGGTTGAAGGTTGTCCAGTGGTTTCCATCTGAAGCTCAACGTGTGTGTGTGTGTGTGTGTGTGTGTGTGTTAGTCCTCCCAGGCGAAGTCGTACGGTTGGAAGTCGTCTCTCAGCCGTTGGCAGCTCTCCTCCTCCTCCTCTCGACTCTGTTTACATTCCTTCCAGTCGGCTCGGGTCGGGATGTTCAGCAGCGCCTCGCTCGCCAGAACCTCCCTGTGTTCGGAGAGAGAGAGAGAGAGAGAGAGAGAACGAGTTGTGTAGTTGTTTGTATGAACTCTGGTGCTCGTGATCCACTGGTTTGAAAATATGAAGCTTGAGAGAAGAAGAGTTTGATGGTTCACCTTCCAAACTGCAGAGGGAATTTTGTCTTGATGCGATAGAAGAGTTTCTCCCCCGAGTCCAACTCCACGTAGAAGTACGGCGTCCCTGGGGGAGCAATCTGCGCACACACACACACACACACAGAGTCACACACACGCTGCAGTATGTGTACTGTGTGTAGTTGTGTGTGTTCTCACGTGTACCTGTTTGAGCTCCGTATGTTGAGGAATCTCCATCAGCTCCATCTGCTGCTCCTGAGCCTGGACCGTGAACGCCTCCTTGATGTCATCGGTGGTGCAGCGGTCCAGCGGCACCGGGACCACCTCAACGGCAACAAAGCACAAACACGTCATGGTCACGTTGTGTGTTTTGTGTGTCTTAATCTTTGTTGTGTGCTTCTGTTTTCATTCTGCATCTCTGTGGTCGTGCTGTGTGTAGTTATTCAGCTTTGTGTGTCTGTTCCCTTCGTCCATTTGTGGTGATTTCACTTCTCTCTTTGATTGTTTTGTCTCTTTACCTCTTGAATCTATTTGTGGTTGTTGTGTGTCTTAGTTGTCGTTGTGTGTCCAGTTATTTAGCTTCTCTCACTGTCACTGTTCTCCCTCCTGAGTCCATCTGTGGTCATTCTACTTTTCTCTCTTCAGTCATTTTGTGTGTCTTTATTGTTGTTTGACATCTTTTCGTGGTCGTTGTGTGTCTGTTTATCATCATTTCACTTTGTGGGTCTGTCTCTTAATCATCGTTTTGCATCATTTCTAATTTGTCCTCATCTTACTCTCTTTAGTCGATTTGTGTTGCTTTGAGTCCCTTGTGTCTCTTAACTGTTGTTTTCTATCTCTCTGGTCTTTGTGTGTCTCTTTGTGTGTCTCATTGTGTATCTCATTGTGTCTCTTTGTGGTCATTCCGCTGTGCTAAATTGTGTCTAACATCATTGTTCTGTGACTTTAAGACAAATGAACACGAACGGCCTCTTCAGATGTAAAAGATGACGTCACCTCTGACTGAAACACTGTTTGCGTTGTTTGACTGAACGTGAATCGTTGTGTGTCTCCGTCTCTACCTGCAGCTGCAGGTGCTGGCTCCTGTAATTCCTCTCGAACACGACGCAGCGCTCGCCTTTGCTCTTGTAGAAACTCCTCAGGGCCGACTTGTACTTCTCCATCTCCTCCACCACCTCAGAGCTCAGCTCCACCACAGACTGGTAGTGGCCGATGGGCAGGATCAGGACGTGGTGGGGGGTCAGGCCGCCTTTGGCCAGAGCCAAGTAACACTGCAAACACACACAAAATACAAAGTGTAGAACTTATTCAACTAGAAGCTTCACAGCAACTGGTCTCCACCTCGCATAGAAACTCACATGTGATCCGATGCTGATGACCAGATGTTTCTCCACCTGAGGACTCGCCAAACAGAACCAGCACGGACCAGTGGGCTGAGCTGCACACGACAACACCAAGGAGACATTTTCATGATTCACTGGTCGATAAGACGAATAATGCATCGACAAGTTTAATCGTGTTTGACTCTCTGGATTCTGAGCAGGTTGTTTGGTGCTGGACGTCAGTGATGATGACGTCAAACTGAATAATGTCGATGATTTTGATGCAAGTGGAAGAGAAATCATTTAAAACTTGTTTTCAGAGAAGAACAGACGCTGGCGGCGTCGGCTGGTCGGACTCACGGTGTCGGCGCGGCTGTTTGTGTCCACGATGCCCGTCTCCATCGTGCTGCTGGTCTCGTCCTCGTCCGTCTCCGTCTGGATGTCGTTTCCTGCCGCGGCCCCGGTGAGGCCCCCCCTGGTTCTTGCTCAGGTCAAAGAAGAACTGGCTGGCCGGCTCCTGGACACACGACAGGAAGTACAGGTACAGGGTTGAGTTTTCAGAATAAAATGACCACATCAAAGAGCTGCCGTGCAGTTTTAAGATCTTTGAAACGAGGAATTCTTTAAACTTTACAACAATCTGGTTGAAACGTGTTGAGAAAAGAAGCTCCAGTGCTTTTTAGCAACTCTACCTCCTCCTCGGCGGCGCTGAAGCCCGTCTTCAACGTGTCCGTCTTGTCTTTCGTGGAGCGTCTGTACGGGTTTTCTGTCACGTCCTGCGGCTGCTTCACAAGCTCTGATGGATCCATGGTCTTCATGGGGACAATGTTGAAGGCGTAAAGATACTGCGGAGACACACACACAGACACACACACACTTTTAAAGTCTGACACACAAACATATTAACGGTGCAACAAGAATAAGAGCTCGTATCACTGTGTTTAACACACACCTTCTTTTTGGCAGGGTTGTTGACAGTTGCCAGGGCGATGAAGCGGCTGACGTGTTGAGCGTTTTCCTGGAGAACGACGTGATTTCTGAGGAAACAGACACACAAGAGACACACAGGAGACACACA